CTAAGGAGGGAAGCTACGTCTTTAGGACCAGCTGCCATGTTTTTAGCAGATGCCATTGGAAACAGGGAGCTTACTATACATAAATTAAGGCGTAAGTTTGGCCGCCCCTGGATAAAAAGCCTATGGGCCACTCGAGGATTTCTCAGAAAAGGCCCTGATGACGGGCCCAGTGCCCTCAGCCCAAAGCAGAAGTACCAGGCCCTCACACACTATAAAGAAGTATTGCTACATCCTACCCATCCCATCTTGGGTGTATATCCAAAGAACTCAAAGCACGATCTTGAAGAGGTATTTGCACACCCATGTCCACCACAGCATTATTCACAACAGCCATGAGAGGGAAATAACCCAAATGTTCATTGACAGATGAATGGATAAAGAAAATGTAGCATATACATAAAACGCAGGCTTAAAAAAAGAAGGCAATCCTGTCACATGCTACAATGTGGATGCTAAGTGAAATAAAATAATGTATGACTCTACTCACATGAAGTACCTAAACTAGTCAAAAATCATAGAAACAGAACATAGAAAGGTGGTTACCAAGGGCCGGGAGGAGGGAAGAAGGGAAATTAGTCTTCAGTGGGTATAGAGTTTCAGTGTTGCAAGATGGAAAAGTTCTAGAGATCTGTTGCACAACAGTGTGAATATACTTAATACTACTGAACTGTATACTTAAAAACAGTTAAGATGGTAAATATAATGTTATGTGTTTTTTACCACAATAAAAAAAATTATTGCTGCAAATAGTGGTACAAATACAAGTCCATCAAGCCCTCCTTCCCTCATCCCCTACTCCTACTACTTCCTCTTCTCACATCTAACAATATATCCTCTCGGCCCAATGCTCCCACACACACCATCTTCCTTGGCACATACCTCCGTGCCCTCACACCAGCTGGCTTGTGATTAAAATGGACAAGCTAGGAAGTGCCAGAGAGAGCACAGCCTATTGTATCGAATTTCCTGGGCCTTTTATAGGGATGCACCAGGACCCTAGCAAATGCGGTGCAGTGGCCTGAGAACCAGGAGGCCTGTGTTGCTCTAAACCAGGTTCAGTCATCGATCGGCTGAAGCAAACCATTCAGCGCTCTGGACTTCGTCTGTATAAAAATAGGAGGTTGACCCAGGTGATCTCTGAGGTCTTTCAACTCTGAAAGTCTAAAAGTTCCCTGATTCCACTGTCAAAGCAACTGGCCTGCTAATCTGAATCTCCTCAAGTGATTCCTCAAGCCCCTTTGTTGTATCTTGTACTCAATTCCTCTTCTTGTTTATTTAGACACAAAAGCAGTTTTTGGTAATTTTAAAATAATAAAACATTATTATACCAAAATTCTACAGACAATAATATTTGGACAGACACCCAGGGAGTGTTCCGGCCTCCCTGAGACAGCAGAGTGGCCCTATTAAATACTTCATGCAAGCTAGTGGATGACGGTGTTAAGTCACCGAGGTACACAGGGACAGACAGAGGAGAGGGCACTGATTTCGTCCTGTGCCTCACTTCAGATCAGCAAACATTACTGAGAAGCACTGCTGTGCTAGGTGCCAAGCTAGGCACTAGGACACAAAGATCATCATCACTAAACCCACGGAGCTCAGAGTCCAGGAGGGGAAAGGCAGAGAGTTTCCCAGTTAGTAGCAAAAGAAAAAGAGAGTTCATTCTGCTGGGAAAGCCCACCAGTATGGAGGGAAGGGCCCAATACGACCAATACAGGGGGCAGGGACGGGACGAGGGAAGTTATGCGCCGAGTTTTTGTAATCTGGAGAGCCCTGGCTGACTACAGCGCGGTGCCAAGCCTCCCCAAGAACTGTGTCTGCTGGGCCATAACCACTTTCCGCTGCAACTTGGCTGAACTTAAAACCGAACAGGTGACTTGAAGGTGAAGGCTGATGATGGAAAAGACAGCCTCTTCCTTCCTCCTGTGACCAGCACAGTCAGCCACACAATCCTCTGAGAAAAATAATTTGACTTTTTATGTGTTACTTGACCCTGTCCTTACTTTTAAACAACCCCAAATGGTCAGGAATAAAAGCATGTCAACTCCCACAATGACAGTGCCACTCACTACACACAAGGGGCAGCCCGGTGCACAGAAACAGTGGGGTTCGGAGATAGTTTGGGTGACCTTGGGCTATCAACCTGTCTTCTACTGCAAAATGTGTGTCTGATATTAACTTCCCTAGGTGATGGAAACATGCTTATAAAGCACAAAAGAAATATAAAAGCCATTATCAGGCATTCATTGTCAACCGCCACCACATAAGTGATACATACTAAGGTGTCACTGATTAACTGATACAGAAACTTTCACCTTGGAAATTCCACCTAAATCATACACTACTCTTTTCTAGCAGAACAGACACTGCTCAGAAGTAAACAAAGCACTTCCCTCTGTGGCTGCCTCTGGTCGGGCTCCTCTGTGCTGCCACACCAGCTGCCGAGGAATTTGCTGCCTGCTGACCAGCTGCTTATAAGGAATGAGAGCGAGTGAGGAAGGTTTCAGGAGTGAAGAGGAGGAGTGAGGGCAATCTGTCCACACAGAGAGCCTTCCACGTCACATGTCTTCAGTACATCAGAATCATCAGCTCATCTTTGAAAGCTCTGACATTCATCTCCGCTCCACAGAAAAGTTTATTGTTTACTGGACTCTACAAGCAATCCCAGTACTTGCTTGTGGGTTAGCAACAAACAGTTTTTATTTTGCAGTCACTGTACCACATCCCAAGGACTCAATGAAACACCACACACATCACCAGAACATTTTCAGATGACCTGGAATAATCCCAGTCCTTGATCTCCTGCGCATATTATTGGGACATTGTGAATTAAACAAACTCCGTGGAAAAATACACTTCACATATGTGCCCCTAAACATACACACAGTCTAAGTCGACAGTCATATACTGTTTCCATAAAGAACAATTCAAAATAAAAGTGATCCTTTCTTCACTAGCGAAGAACATTAAATCTACTTTAATTACATAGAAATACACAGTTGTGAAAAGAGGCACCTAAAAAGAACTGAGAGGGTAAGCAATAAGGAAAAAAATAATATGCAAACTATGCATGTGATTTTTATGTCACATTTGAGAAAGTGTTTTGTTCAGGTTTGAGACTGATTCTGTGTGTGTGTGTAAGGAGAGGGGTGGCTGTACTCTTTTCCCACTAGAGTACAATGAAACCAGCCACTCGGCAGCACTTCTGCCAGCTGCACACAGACATAAGCCCATCAGAACAGTGGGGATACGCAGACTCCTTAGAAGAGGTATAAAAAAAAGTCACAGAAAGGATTGCTTTTTGCTGTTTTCAGCTAAAATTTCCCCTAAAATTACTGCCCCATAGTTGATCCAGGTTTTCCTGATGTCAGATTTATTGCCATCCAGCTAAATACAATTTACTGATTTAATACCCTATTATTTAGTTACCTCTGTTCATGTTACGAAGTGTCAAACAAATAGATTATCCATACTGTAGGATTTTCCTGAACTTGTTCGTTGTAGAATCAATTTATACAGCAAAAGAAACTGGAGTATCAAAGTACCCTAAGATCTTCACTCTGACACCCCCTCCACCACAGACATACCACTACCCCTAGATATGTACAAACACAGAAGCCGGAAAGTTCCATTCGGCATTTTTGTTAGGCAAAAACAAAGAAACCCAACCCACCTTTTCAGTTATCAGCCTGACCTCAAACCCATGAAACTCTTTCCTGATAAGAAACACTAAAATCTGAGTATAACTACGAAAACCTAGTAACCAAATATGATAAAATACTGTTTCCTCTAAACAGATCCAAATGGAAAAGCAGTGTTAAAACAGGAAAGGTTTCTCTCATCCCTCACAGATGAAGAAAACAGGTTACTTGTGCATTGTTTCTGCAGTGTCCACTCGATGAACACATATTAAATGGGCCAAGCCCCAAACAAACTTCGGCAGCTTCAGCCCCTCACTGAAGCAGGAGGCTTTTCCATCTGGGTACTGACGGAACAGTGAATCGAATCAAGTGCACAATAAACGTAGCGATGGGAAAAATAAATGGGGGAGATGGACACATCGTTCTGCCTCCTCACGGTGGCAAACTTTACAACAACTTTTTAGAAGCAACAAACCGCAGCACCGCCAGCCTTTATAGATTATATATGTACATGCACACACGCAACTGCTTGGACGCCAAGTACTGCGTTTGCAAGCATCCACCATCCCGCATTTACAGTACTGCAAAACACGTCCAGAAAGCCGGGAGATTTCTAGTCTTAGATATCCTCTCCGCACTGTCAAACAGGGAAGGTCATTTCGCCTGGTCACTTAGATAATTCTCTCTCCCTGCATCAGTAGAGTTTTCTACTTTGGGATTGCTCAACTTTCATATGCATCGGAGTAAAATAACCATTCAGCAACTTTATTCACCTTGGTTTAAAAAAAAGGGAGAGAAAGAAATTCATTGTGCAATGCCCAGGAAAAGCTGACACCAGGACTGTCTCTCCGGCAAGAGCTTGCAATTACAGTCAGAGGAGGGGGGAAATCTCGTCTGATAAGACCCAGGGAGTCCTTAAAACAAGAAACGATGGGGGCTGGAGAACTTTTTTTCTAAGAAGACCACCCCTCGGGAACAAAAGTTACATTTCAGTCACATGTTGGGAGTAGGAGTAGGGAGCAGGTTTTTTAAAAAGCGCACTAATTACGGGGGTGTTTTACTGTTCCAGAGACCACTCGGGTTCCCTGACCAACTGTGACAGGCATTTCATTGTCAAAAGGAAAGGGGGTGGAGTGGGGGCCAAGGAGCCGATAGGGGGCTCAACGGGGGGGGAGTAGCAAGGTTACGCTAAAGGGTACAGCAGCCGCCGGGAGCTGCATTTCCTTCCCTGGCGCCCCAAATAATTTACTGCGAACCGAGCGACTGCAACAGCCCCCTCTGAAGAGCCCAGAACGACTGCCCCGGCCGGTGCAGCGCAAGGTTTTCGAGCACGGAGAGGGAGGGGGAGAAGATCTTTACCTTAATGCTACACTGAGCAGGAGTCTCAGACATGTCTCACAGCGAGAGAGATCAGGAAGTTCTCAGTTTTTTTCCACTTTCCTTTCCTCTCCCCAACCCAGAAAGGCTCCACGGCCAGCCGGACGCGGTCATTTAAGAAGTTTCTTCCAGCATCTCTCCCGGCAGCCGCCCCGGGGGTCTGCGAGCGCGCGGGGCGGGGCGGGGCGGCCG